AATTATTTAACACATAGACAAGACATCAATCACACAGTGGAATATTTAAAATAGAACTATTGCATATTTTTTGTGATTTTATTTAAATTATCTTTTAAATGCATAATTAAATCCTATATGCATGCAATATGTATTTTATTTTATTTTTTCATTTTATTATCACAAAGTAAACACTTACGGACATAACACAAGTATTTAACACCACGCAAATTCAAAAATTACACAGTAAAAGAAATTTATTTTATTTTTTTTTGATTTATTTTGGAGTAGTTTTCGTAAGGCAAAAATCACGTGCTCACATTGACATATCAAGTAACTTTAGTATTTCAGACGAAACCTGCATGAAAATAAACATAAATTCTATTATGAACAGTTTGTAGATAATTTGTAGAAACATGAAATTCTGTATTTCATATTAATTTTTCAAATGATATGTAGTTTTATTGTAGAATAAATGTAGNGAAAATGTAACAGCACAAACCTGCAACTATGTTCTCATTGGTGATACTCAATTCCATATTAAAATCACGAACAGTTATACATAGCGGATATGATCCTATGTTTTTGTTTTCCTTTTTCGTCTTCATGTATACACAACTACAATATAGTACCACTTAAATACAATTTTTATACAATGTTGTTCAACCTTCATACAATCGTTAAATGAATAAAAGAAAAATAAATAAACAACAGTTTATAAATTTTCTACAATTTGTCTATATTTCTATAATATAATGTATGTCATGTCTTCTTTTCCTTCTTCTTCGAGTTTCAATATGAAATTCAGCCAAAACCAAGTATAATCTTCACCAAAACCCCTCAAAATTGAGATATAAACTCTAAACCATATTCTCAATTATTTTCAACAACACCCAATCCAAACAAATAATGATTTTTGAAAATCCAAATTCAAAGCTTCAAAGCTTTTTAATGGCTGTCAATTGTGGAATTGCTGCTCTCTTTTCCTTTGCTTTATATTACTGAAATTTGGGATTGAGAGATAGAGAGAGACGTCGAGAGAATTTTCAATTCTTTGCTTCAAAGCTTTTTAATGGCTGTCAATTGTGGAATTGCTGCTCTCTTTTCCTTTGCTTTATATTACTGAAATTTGGGATTGAGAGATAGAGAGAGACGTCGAGAGAATTCTCAATTCTTTGCAACAACATCCAATCCAAACAAACAAATGTCTTTTGAAAACTCAAATTCGAATTCAAAACTTCAAAACTTTTTAATGGCTGTCAATGGTGGAGGGGTTATAGATTTTCGCTGGTTTTAGAAGAGGAAATCACGAGTAATTGAAGAGAAAATAGTGGGGTGTGGTTAACGGGTGAATGCCGACTAGATGCGGTAGTTGGTGGTAGTTTTGGTTGATGATGGTGGTTCATGTAGTAGCTAATAGTGATTGGTAGTGGTGGCGATTATGATTGATGATGATGGTGGCGTGTGGTGATAGTTAATAATGGCGGATGGTGGTAGTAGTTGTGACTGAAGAAGGTGGTGAGGATGGGTAATGGTAGGTTATAATGATGGATAGTGCCGTCTGTGGTTGTTGATGGTGATGGGGTGGTCTGTTGTGGCAGTTGAGGTGGATGAGAATGATGGTGGTCAGAGTAGTGGGGATAATGGGTGGTGATAGTCGATAATAGTGACGGCTATGATTGCGGATGATGGTGGCGTAATGGTGGTGGTGGTGGCGGCGGCATGGTGGTAGTTGATAATGGTAGGTGTCGGCGGCAGTTAATAATAAATATGTGATAACATCTTAATAAAATTAAGTCTCTGTTATAGATCTTAATCATACAGACTTATTTAGACCCATTATTAAGATCTAAATTATTAAGATTGAGACTTTAAAACAAAAACACTTAATGTCTAAGATCTAAATTCACACATCCATTATTCACACTTACCAATGCACGTACCATCTATTCTAGTTTGAAGTTTGAACGAACCCCCTTTATTCACTTGTATTTATTTACTATACTAAAAAAATATTTTTTTTATTTGTCTATTTTAATAAATCAATAGAAAATAAGTATTTTTTTATTTTATCTTTATTATTAACTGTTTATTTTTCATAATTACTAAAAAACTATCATTATTATGAGTATTATAATTATACGTAATAAAATACGTACTTTATAGTATACAAAGTCTATTGTGGAATGGACAAGTAAAATAAACATAGTAATAAAATAGACTTTTCTTTAATTTAACAACTCATCAGGTATTGTAATTGGCACGCAACTCAAAGCTACAAAAATTAGTCAGCAGTCAGCACTGACGTAACAATGGGCATGGATATAGTCACGGGCCACTGGGTATGACCCGTTCACCACTTTCCCGGCAAACTTCCCAATAGCACCGATCCCAAAAAATCCTCGCCCTCTCCGATTCCGAACTCCATGGAACCCAAAAACAGAGATTTCCTGATCCATCTAGAAGCTTACCTCTCCAAACGTGACGGCGTTGACAAATTACTCAAAATCTCCCGTTACGCTTCCAAAATCATCATCGCCTCCTCCGTTATCCCCGAATCCCTTCCGTTATCTCGACGTTTAAAATCCTTCGAATCAAGCGTCGGCGTTAGCCGTAAAGCGTTTCGCTTAGGAAAATTCGTACAAGACTTGAACGCACTCCGTTCAGCTAATATCAGTTCAAAAGAAGAATTAATTCTCTCGATTTTAGCTTACGGAGGCGAAGGATTGTACTATTTTGTCGAGCAATTTGTTTGGTTAGGTAAAGCGGGGTTAATTGATAAGAAGAATTTGAGTAATTTACAGAAGATTAGTGCTTGGTGTGAGTTTATTGGGTATATTGGAAGTGTGAGTTTGAAGGTTAAGGAATTAAAGAAGATTAGCGAAGATGAGGCGTGTTTGGTTTCGACTATTGAGATTTCGATAATTAGGGGAATTGGGTATAATGAAGAAGAGGAAAAATTAAGGAAATTGAGAATGAAGAAGTTAATGAAGAGGTTATCAGTAATTCAGGATTTTGCTGATGGATTAATGGCTTTGGCTGATATTAGAGATGGTAAAGGGCTGTTTTCTGGGCCGCTGTTGTTGTCATCAGCTGGGCTTTTGTCAGCTCTCATTAGCACACATAAGAATTGGATTTCTTGCTGATTGAAATTGCTGGATTTGGAGGTATGATTTGTAGTTCCATTAACTGGGAATTCATGTTGTTTTAGGATTAGTTCGAAATAAAGATTCGTTTTTAAAAAAAAAGAAATGTGCTATGTTTCCCTCTAAATAAGAAGGGAATTTGGAGGTATACAAGAGATGTCATGTTATTTCATCGCAGATAGAAATTCTCTGAATACAAGAGATGTGATGTCCCAAAGAAAACTAAATACTTTGTTATTCATGATGATTTTCTTGGATAATGAAAGCTTCTGCCATTTGATAGTTCTTTAAGTTTTTCTATTTCAGCTGCTAGCTACTACTTGTACTTAATTTGGCAAGTTTGCTTATACTGTTGTTTACACTAGCACAATCTGGATTTTCAGCTGAGTTATGCCTTTTTTTTTTGGTTACTAATGTTGGTTCTAGGGTAGTTTTGTCTGTGCGAATTGAAGTCACGATGCAGTTAAAATTTCATCCTCTGCGTTAGAAGATTTATGGAATTTAATCATTGAGAGCATTTGCTACTACTTGACCTGTCCTTCTTGCTCTTAAAGCGTAGAGTTTGTGCTTGATATACCTTTTTCCCAGTTCAAATTAGTTATTCTCTAAGCTTTCTAAAAATATATATATGCATATATTGGTTCTGAACTTGTTATTTGGACTACCAAGTTTCAGTTGTATCCTACTTCATCAAAAGATTTCAGTTTTATCCTGAAATCAAAGCTTGGCCAAAGAAATCAAAAACAAAAAACTAAAACTAAGACAAAAGAAACTCCAAAGGATGAAGAAGAGAAGAATAACTATTGGTAGAGTATTCCTATAAAAAAGGTCCTGATGGATGAATTATTAAGCAGTGGAATGAAATAGGCCTTGGTGGAGCAGAATGGATATAAAGGAGTCATATTCCCCCTAAAACAGAAATGGGTTTTAGTAGTTGTTGTTTCTTTTGAACTTGTGTTTCCAATAAGCTTATTTTGAAAAATTGTCTCAGGACCTCTTTCAACCAAAACCAATTTCTGAATTTTCTCTAATGCGTAATTCTGACGATATGAGTTGAGCTTAAAGAAAGAAGTGAGGATTTATATCGCCGACCCTACTTTGTTTGTGACTGAGGCGTAGTTATCGTCATCGTCTCTAATGTGTAATTCAACAACAACAATAACAACAACAAACCCAGTATAGTCTCATAAGTGGGTCTGGGGAGGGTAAAGTGTACGCAGACTTTACCACTGCCTTTAAAAGTTAGAGAGGCTATTTCCGTAGGACCCTCGGTTCATAGAGGAAAAAGGGAAGGAGCAACAACAAGCAAATCAATCTGACAACCAAAGCGAAAATACAAAACTAAGACTAAATAATGCAAACAGAAAACCGAAACAAGACAGCAATAAGAAATAGCAGTAAAAAGAAGAACCCAAAGGACGCGAAGAGAACTAATGTATAATTCATGACCTGAAAGTATCTTTAGAATTTCTCATTTAGTTGGAAAAAGCTTCTCTAACAAATTGGATGCTTCTTGTTTCTTACGTTTTTTGGCCCTGCAAGCATATTAACTACTTCCACCGTTCCAATTTACGTGAACCTGTTTGATTGGGCACGGAGTTTAAGAAAAAAATGAAGACTTTTGGAATTTGTGGTCCTAAACAAGTCCAAATGGGGCCCAGAGTTTTTGTGTGGTTATAAAAGCTTCTCATTAAGGGTAGAGTTGCAACTTTAAGCTAAATTGTTATCAAATTTAGAAAGGGTTCATTCTTTTTGGAACGGACCAAAAAGGAAATAGGTTCACATAAACTGGAACAGAGGGAGTATCATATCAAGAATAGGTAGAATCTTTCGATCCTACACCAGCTGTTTGTGATATTTGATGAGTCTTAGAGAAGCCTGATTAGCTAGCTCCATGTGATGGATGCTGGTCAAATCTCAAATTGCCTTTTTAAAGCTAAAATTAGTGTATCAAATGATGCGGGAACTTTAACAAATAAGGAATGTCAAAAGGGGTTGCAACCGCAACTGTTGGCAATATTTGAAAGTGCAACTTTGAGTCTTGATTTATCACTTGAAACATACTCCCTCCGGTCCAAAATAAGTGATTTTTTGGATGTTTTCACACAGATTAAGAAATTCACCTTTTTGCATTAATTAGCAATGGAATTAACCATATTAACCTTTACTATCTCACATAAACACTCCTAACACATATTCCAACACTAGTTACTCCAAGGACAATGTAGGAAAAAAATAATTAATTCATTCTTGAAATCTGGAAAAATTACTTATTTTGGACTACAAGAAAAAAACCAAAAAATCACTTATTTTGGACCGGAGGGAGTACCAATTATGTGTATACTGTTTTTCCTTTGTTCATAACATAGCATTGACTGCCAAATGATGAATATTCTCACTCAGATGGCATTGAATTAACTGTTTCAATTTTTGTATTCATAACGTGATTTGATCTGAGATCACAATATAATTACTGCACTTTTTTTAACCTTGGAAGCAATAGAACAGAGGAGACCATATTGTGTGAACCTGAAAATTTAGGCGACGCGCCAAGTTGATTACTTGATCTACAGAAGATGCGTTGACGTTTACGGAGAAGCTCTTACTTCTCTCTAGGGCCTATACTCAAAGATTTTGGTCTGATTTGACGGGGGATTGACATCTATATCCGCTTTTTTATGTCACGTTTTAATTTGTGCCCGCTTTGTAAAAAAAATTGCAAGCGCTTTCACATAACTTCAGCATACGGAGCTGAAGTAGCAAAGACAATCACGCAAAACTTCAGCATTCTAGTAGACGGGCCTGAAGTAGCAAGTGTGCTAAACCAAGTGTGCTGAAGTTTTTATTTGTAATTGCTGAACTTAAGCATATTAGCTTTAGTTTTGTTCTCTATTTGCATTGCTTAAGTTTTTATTTTTGTAACTGGCGAACTTCAGCTCTAGAGCTGAAGTTTTTGTTTTGTAACTGACGAACTTCAGAGTTTTTGTTTTTGTAACTGGCGAGCATTTTTGTTTTAAATTTTTGTTTTGTAACTGGCAAACTTCAACTCTGAAGTTTTTGTTTTTGTAACTGGCGAACTTCAGTTCTAGAGCTGAAGTTTTTGTTTTATAATTGGCGAATTTCAACTCTAGTTATTTAGTTCATTTGTAAAAACTTCAGCACTATATAAGCAATGGACATTTTATTTCTTATTGCATACAACTATACAAGTAACTTGGTGTTTCTTTGTCATGAGTAAGATGCTAAATTTGTGGTGAATTGCTTTCACTTCAGCCTGAAGTTAAGGGTGAAAAAGGACATGGTGCCAAGCAATGACCACTTGCAGATCCATTCGTATTTCTTGACTGGAATATAGTAGTGTAAGAAAGTCTTATCATTGAACCAGATATGTCTATCCAAAATTTTAATAACTGAAGTTTCATCGCAGCACCAACAACAGCAGAAGAAAGAAGAAGAAGAAGAAGAAAAATACGAAGGAGGAGGTGAAAGGGCTTGAAGTTATTTTAAAAGTGGGTATAAATTAAAAAAAATTTAAAAAATGGGTATAGGTTAAATGGGGGCGACCAAATAGGGCCCGTACAATTTTTACGGTTTGATTGCTGTATTAGCAATTTAGCAGTAAAATAGGATATATCCTTTCTGGTTTGTGTTGCTATGACACTAGTTTGCAAAATGATCTTCTTTAGGGGTTAATTTTATGGATATGCACTTAACTTTTTCTTTAATGCACCAAAGCCGCTGATCTATGTGCTTAACGAAAAAGTCACTCTACATTGCTTAAGTATCACAGACTTTCATTTGTGTCGAGAATCGTTGATCTTCATTATTGACTCGTGAGAATCTAATCAATCTATCTGTATTTCGTCGGACATGACTGGACAGACTATTTCTAAGAATTTTAATATTGTAAATGCAAAAATATTTATGATAGTGGCCTTGAATGGAGAGAATATCTAAGAGAATTTTAATATTATAATTAGTGCATAGCATCTACAGGTTCACTTTCTCCACTAGTATTGTAAGTAGCAAAAGATAAGACTGCAACATATGTAAAGCAGCTAAGTGGGATACTGCCGTTACATAAAATAAAATAAAATAAAGAGTAGTGCAAAATAAGTAGTCATATGTTTACTGATCGATGCATATATTCGTATGGCTTAACTATGATTATAGTATTCATTTGGGTTTATGTCCTGCAATCAACAGTTAAAGAAGACCCAAAATAAAAAAAAGTAAAAAAATGGGGACTTGGAAAGAATAAAGTTATCAATTTAATGGTTTCTATATCTCAAGTTGGGATCAATGAAACAACGCAAAGGGCCGAATATATAATGTACTATGACAAAAGATTTAAATATACCATTCGTGTTGAGGTGACATGTCATGTTGCTTCTACCTCATCAAATATAAATGTCACGTAGAATTGGATGTCCACCTTGGACAAACTTAACAGAAGAGGTGTAATATTTGAACTAATAGTATTACGGCAGGGATATATTTAAACTCAAAGTATAACGAAAGGTATATTTAAATCTTTTCTCATAGTACATGGGTATATTTGACCCCTTGCCCATAAAACAATTGGAAAGAATAAGTAATCAGTCAATCCATTAATTAAATATCTCTTTTATCCGTTAATAAAACACTTACTGTATTATATATGTTCTTAACTAAGTTTACATTGAATCCTTAAGATGTCTTTTCGGGCAATTTTTTTTGGGCAATCGTTGAAGAGATTGAGCTGAACTCATATGCAGCCTCTGAAGTATAGCTTGAGCTATTTGAGGTTCAATTATCTGTGAAGTTGAACCTAAGCTTGTGAAATTGAGCTGGTAAAATTTGAACTTTGTGAGCCGGAGCAATGTTAGTGATCTCCAACATAAAGTTAATAATGTATTAGTGTTATTCTTTTTAATGGAGCTGATTTCTCCGACTTTGAGCCGATCTAATTTCTCGAAGCTGATTTTATAGCGTAAAATCGATTCATATTAAATATTCGCATAATAGAGCGATACGTGGAATCAAAGACAGACGAAGGTTAAGACAGGTGAAAACCAAGACCGGGCTAGCAGTTTCGGTTGACACCGGGAAGCTCCCGAAGGAAATATTGCTAATAAAGACAAATGATTGCTTGCCACCCGATAACATTCAATGAAAAATATTCTGCACTATTAAATACACAATTCGTTATAGAAAATTATGGCATTCATAGCCTGCTGTTACACATTCTTCAACGGCCCCATAATTGTCATTTAAGAAGGGTTTGATCCTAGGTTGGTATTCCGTAAGTGCAACTATAAATAGTGATTTCAACAGCCATTGTAAGGGGATGAATTTTCTGACAAACATATGCTATACATTATTCTAAGCTCAATAACAAAGTATTTCTTATTCATTGATATTATCGTTATTGCCTTTGGAAGGTCTGCTTCCGGAACCAAGTTATATGTTGTCTTATCTTGATTTTATCACTAAGTTTTGCACTTTATTTAAATTAATTTATTATATGGGGATCAAATCAATTTGTACCACATTACAAATTCAACTGTATCGTTTTGCGGGTTAATACTGATATCTTCAACGAAGAATTGAAATAAGTTATTCGTACGTTTCACAACTCTAGTGTGGTCGTAATTAAATTTTGAGTTCAACTTATATACACTAAAAATATAAAAAAATAAATTAGACAATCATGTTATATTTTTCTGTTATAATAGATAACATATTTTATTTTTAAGATTACAAATTTCGCCTTTTATAATGGGTTACATGAAATTAGCTTTTGAATAACCAGATATTGTATTAAAAAAAAAAAATCTTTTGAATAACCAGATATTGTATTTTAAAAAATTACACCGTGAATGTACATTAGTTAAACTCATTAATTTTCTTGTCTGCGGGAAGTACGTACCCTCCAAAGTCCAGATTGGAGGCCGTTCCTTTTCTGAGAAAGAAAGCATCAACTTTAAATGTAGTCGTCAGTTTTCTTGTTGAGCTTTTTCCAATGATAATTTCTTGATTGTAGTAGGTGCAAAGTTTGAACTACAAAAGATCTATACATAACATAAACTTTATTTTAATGGACCTAAGCGTGTCCATTAATTTTTTTGGCTCTTTACAAACTTGTTTTTAATTTTATGATTCTATCTCTTTTTTCACACATGAGAGATTTATTTTTACACGGTAGAGATATGTCTTTTATACATAAGAGACTTAAAAAGGTCATTTTCTTAAATTTAAAATTGTAAATAGGCATGATGTACAAATAATACCTTAAGGGGTCGTTTGGTATAAGGTATAAGAAGGTATAAGGGTGGTATAAAAATTTAATATCACCTTAATACTCTGTTTGGTTAGCAAACCAGGTATAAGTTATCCCGGGATAACTTATACCTTATAGAGGGAGGGGTAATTAGCACTGATATAACTTATACTTTCTTCTTAGAAATTATACAATTATCATTCTTAATACAACATACCAAACAATGAATAAACAACAATCCCGGCATAACTAATCCCGGCATAACTTATCCCAATATAACTTATACCGGCATAAGCCCTATTCCAACCAAACGACCCCTAAGCGTTTCGATTGTTAGGATCGAAATAATAAAGTGTCACGCATAAGCTAGTAAAGCAACACTTGAATGGCGATAAATCAGATAACAGGAGAAAAATATATCAAAAGAGACACAAATATTTAACGTGGTTCAATCAATTGACCTATGTCCACCGACGGAGCTGAGCAATCCATTATATAAAAGAGAGTACACAATTTGAGAGAATAACCTCATAAAGAGGCAAACACAGGTGACACACTAATACGTGCCCTTAAAAGTTCTTCACCTAAACAAGACTCTCAAATTTCTTATGACTACATTGTCGATGCTACTGAATGAGAATGAAGGATCCCCAATTTATATCAGTCAAAACATTTTCCTTCAAGAAAAGAAACTAGACAAATATGAGAAATTTATAATTTCTTCTACTATAAGAAAAACTCAATTATCGTAAATATGTTATCCTTTCCTTTAACAAATTAAAAAAATCAAATATAATAAAAAAATTAGCACAACACCTAAATTGATGACCCTTGTATTACACGAGCAACAAAATGTTTATGTTCTAACTAGGAGTGTACATAGGTCGGGTTGGTTCGGATTTTATAATTACCAAATCAAATCAATTGTGTCGGGTTATTAAATTTGAAGACCAAACCAAACCAATAAAACTCAGGTTTTTCAATCTCGAGTTTTCTCGGATTTTCGGGTTATTCGGGTTTTTTTCGGTAAAATCTTCGTAGAACAAAACATATAACTTGTGCTCAAAATATTTCTTTAATCCTAGTAAGATACAACTATATAAAGTATTTTTCAATAAAATAATACAAAATATGAGATGTGTCATGGCATTATCCTAAAATATTCAACATTAAAGACAATAAAATTATGTAATATAAATATTGCTAATTAAAAAGTCATAATAAAAATAAACATAATCTAATAGTACTGAGTCATACTAAAATAAGTAGACTGATAAGAGAGTATTAATTACATGACTAAACGCTAAAGAAAAAATAAAAATAGATTATGCATTTATATCTAAATTATTGCAAAACAAAAAATAGATATTCAATACATTCCCGTTCGTAGTATTGAATTGAATGTCTTTTGTTAGTATTAGTATTGATTTGATTTTGGTTTGGGCTTTTATTAGCATTATTTAATTTACTAATATTAATGGCTATAAAATTTATTGGAACATTCAAAAGTTCTAAGTCCAACCTTGAAATAATACCTTAAAAGATAAATTATAAATTTTTTTAAGAAATATTTATAAATTACATTACAATAAGTATATTTATATATTAAATATATCTAAAAATTTTATATATTTAATGTCGGTTTGGTTTGGTTTGGTTTTGGTTTGACTTTCTTTAGTTAAAACCAAACCAAACCAATTATGGTTGGGTTTTTTTTCCAACACTAAACTAAATCAAACCAAACCATATTTAATTTTTTTTTTCGATTTAACTTGAATTATCGGCTTAATGTGATTTATCGGTTTCTTTTGTACACCCCTAGTTCTAGCAGCCTAATCTTGACTTAGTTCGCCTAACAGGAGTGACAATTAAAAATTTAACCAAACTGAACACCAAGAAAATCATAACATTCTGATCGTCAAAATTTTAAGAATTATTACACTCGCCGAAATTTTAATTCTTATGTGTTTTTCCCTCCGTCCAAAATAAATATCAATTTGCTTTTTTATTTTGATCTAAAATAATTTAATAAGTGTTCATTTATATAATCAAGAAAAAATTTAATTTATTTTTCTAAAATTACCCTTATATACGTATTCCTAAAAAGTCATTTACTTGTCACAATTAAGAAAATAAGTAAGTGCTACTATAACTATGATGCAATATTTAGTGAAGAATATGTTTAGTCACACTAACTATTTTCGTCTAGTATTTAATATTTCATTAATGGATGTGCCCAAAACAAATTGATCATTTATTATGGATCGGATGATTATAGAATTTCTACCCCGGGTTGTGACGGGTGGGAAATCCAAATATTTTTTGCTGTTATAACCTTCAAAGTAAATATGAATCTGAATTAATCGAGTCCGTAGAGTTTGAATACTGAATAATTAAACAACTCGCACAACACTATCAGAGAAAAAAAAGATAATATTCTGATCATCAAAATTGTGAAGAATAACTTCACAGCGATTTCTCTATATAAAAGCACATATCATTTCCAGTTACCATACCATATTCTCTTTTCATTGTTTTGGACTTTCATTTGTTCCTTTTAATGGACAAATCTACAACAATGGCGACTGCTGAACAGAAAGAGAAGCCGCACGTTGCGTTCCTCCCAAGCCCTGGCATGGGACACATCATTCCACTCTTTGAGTTCGCCAAACGCCTAGTAATCAACCACGGCTTCCACGTCAGCTTCTTCGTCATCACTACCGGAGCTTCCGCCGCACAAAATGAACTTTTCCGATCAGATAACCTTCCCACCGGTTTCCATGCCGTCGAAATCCCGCCGGTGGAAAACATCTCTTCATTTTTCACCGACGATATGAGAGTAGTCACCCGACTCTCTATCATAGTCCGCGAATCACTCAAACAATACCTCTCCTCACTTCTAATAACACATCGCCCAAAAGCTTTGATCATTGATTTGTTCTGTACTGACGCTTTTGAGATTTGCAAAGAGGTTTCAATTCCTGTTTACTCTTTCTTCACTGCCTCTACTCTTTTGATGGCTTTCTCTTTGTATCTTCCAACACTTGACCGGGAAGTCAACGGCGAGTTCGTTGACCTTCCCGAACCTATTCAAACTCCTGGATGCAATCCAATATGCCCTCACGACCTCCTAGACCAGGTACATTAAGATTCATCTCTGAAAATTATTAAAATTTTAACGAATATTAAATGAATTTAATACAAGGTGCAACGCTGTCTCTATATGTTTTTTTGGTTCCCGGATGCATTGGAGCCCGATTATATCTGGATTCGTACCGCGTAGGGCTCCATTCGGGGAGGAAGCACTCCCTACCAAAAAAAATTCCATGCCTAGGGCTCGAACCCGGACTACAACATGTTACTATATTTGTAAGGTTTATCTCTTTAGGATTTTGAAGGGGAATTTTGGCGTAATTGGTAAATTTGTTGTCATGTGAACAAACTCTTGTAGAAATATAGGATAAAGCTCCGTACAATAGACGCTTGTGGTCCGATCTTTCCCTGGACTTCGCGCATAACGAAAGCTTAATATTTCCCATACTGTCCTTTATCTCATTAGGATTCTTATGAAAAGTTATCCGTTGTAGATTAACTTAATATTCAATGATGTAAAATACTTACATCTACGAAAACATAATATGTGAAAATTATTAAAATTTTAATTCAATAAATTTTAACGAATATTAAATAAATTCAATTTTTATACAAGGTGCATTTTTTTTTTTACACTATATCACTACAATTTTAATGTCTATAACATGTTACTATTTATTACTCTATTTTTAAGGTTATCTCATTAGGATTCTTATGAAAAGTTATCCTTGTTGTAGATTAACTTAAATATTTGATGGTGTAAAACACTTACATCAATAGTCTACAAAACTTAATATGAACTCCTAATTTCAAATGTATGATAAATTTAACGAATAAAGAGTTTTAAATTCTGAATTTGTCTCTACAGGTAAAAGACAGGAAAAACGATGAGTACAAATGGTATTTACTTCACGTCAGCAGAATACCATTGGCCGCCGGAATATTTGTCAACAGTTGGGATGATCTTGAACCAGTGACCCTTGAAGCTCTTAAAGAAAATTCATTTTTCCAAAATATACCTATTCCGCCTGTTCATACTCTAGGGCCATTGATCAAACAAGATGAAGTCGTTACAGAAAAGGATGCTGAGATTTTGACGTGGTTGGATAATCAGCCGTCTGATTCTGTTCTGTTTGTGGTGTTTGGTAGTGGCGGCACCTTGACAAGTGAACAACTTACTGAATTAGCTTGGGGTCTTGAAATGAGTCACCAAAGGTTATATATTGCATTTTTATATTAGGAAATAGAGTTTAACTTGAGTATAAGTATTTATAATTATCATATAAATTTTACTTTTTGCAGTAAGTTGTCTTTTTTTTCAAAATTATAAATCAATGACTACTGATAGTAACACAAATTCTTTGCACTATCCGATGTATAAGTTAAACTCTTGAAAATAACACTACAATTAATATTAAAAGTTGGTAATGAGAGAATGGCCATGATTTCTTGTGTAATTTTGGAAACCATTTACCATTTTGACTCATAATCCACCCGCTTATTATTCCACTAATAGATTATATTATTAGCTGCTAACTCATGATTTTACCTTAGGGCCCGTTTGGTTATAAAAATATTCATTTTTTTTATTTTTTTTTTCGAAATTAATGTTTGACTATGAAATTTTCAATTTTCATTTGAAGATAAATTTCATAAAAAGATATTTTTTAAAATTTTCACTTCAAATCACTCATAAAATTCAAAAATAGCCCAAAATTATATTCATATCCATACACAACTTCAATTTTCAAATATTATTTTTATTTTTTTTACTTTTTTCCGAAATTTTACAATTCTTATGTCCAAACGCCCACTTAATTTCATTACCCTACTAAATTTTTATTAACTGGGGAAAAATATCCAACCTAAAAGTTTGTTGTTTTCATTTCTTTCAACAGGTTCATCTTAGTGGCCCGTAAACCAAGTGATGCAAGTGCCTCGGCAGCATATTTCAACGTGGGCAGCGATGAAAATGATCCATTGATGTACTTGCCGGAAGGATTTGCGAAGAAAACTGAGGGAAGGGGTTTGGTAGTGCCTTCTTGGGCCCCACAAGTAGCAATTCTAAATCACCCATCTACCGGAGCATTTCTTTCGCACTGTGGATGGAATTCGACTTTAGAGAGCGTAGTCCACGGCGTGCCGATGATTGCATGGCCCCTTTACGCGGAGCAGAGGATGAACGCCGCCTTTTTAGCGGAGGAGGTCGGCGTGACAATGAAATTTCCGGTAGCCCCCGGCGAAGAGCTGATAAGCCGAAAGGAGATTGAAAAGATGGTGAGAATTGTAATGGAAGGGGAGAAAGGCATGGCTATGAGACGTAGAGCACAAGAGCTCAAAGAAAGTGCGAAAATTGCACTTCACAATGGGGGCTCCTCTGATGATTCGCTTTGTCGTGTTGTTCAGTTTTGGAAATCTGATCAGTCATTGTGTAGCTGAAAAAAGACGTGTGCGAAATTATTTTGACTGTTTTGGTGCTTCTACGTGTTTTGACTAGTCAATCAAATGAATAAAATCTATGATGCTTCCTTTAAATGGATGGGCGTGACGACTGACGAGTTAGCCCAAACCGAGAGTCCGATCGTTCATTGTTTATTGGGTTATCAATATCGGATTATTGGGTTAACGGTTCGCTAACAGTTTAGAATTTTTTCACTATTGAATTATCTGTTCGGGCCTCAATTTGCCAATTTTCTTAATGGATTAACTGATAACCCAATAATAATTAATAAAATTACGACTTAACCCTTAAGTATATACATATGCTAGGGCTTCAGTTCATTCTCTCTTATTTATTTTCAGCCGCACTCTCCAGTTGCTTCATCTTCATTCTTCATAGACCTTACTAGTTACTCATAGTGTAAGTCTTTAGTGTTATACATTAGGCTTTTAATTTTTATAACAAAATTTATCTTCATATTGGTATTTTTGACTGTTAATGATTCTTATTTTATTATTTTCGTTTCTTAATTTTGTGAGCTCCCGTTGTGCAGCCTATAACTACTACCAATTTCTCTTCGCACTTATCAATTCTCAATCGACAATCTTCGTCAGTTTCGAGTATATTTTTGAACTTTATTCTTCTGTAGAGTATGCTGAGCTTTGACAACATGACAACATTTTCTTGCCTTCTAGGTGTTTTTCATTTACTTGTTAGTATTGCCCATGTACAGATCAAGGTTTTGCTCTATGGTTTCTTTTTTTAGGTTAAGCATTTGACAAATAACATTCAGTTTATCTTAGACTGTTAGTATTATATGTTTGGACTTGTTAATTTTAAGGTGAAATTGCTACTACTTTGTATTATTATTAATGTATTTGGACAACTGTTGTTAAAGAATTAGTACTATTCCAGTTGTAGCCACTGGACATAACGCAGAAATGGGTAGTATACTATATGTGAATTCTTCTCTTTTTAGCTTAGCTCCAGTGAATTGTCTTCTCTTTTTTGCTTAACTCTAGATTGAGTTATCTTATCGAGTAAACCGATAACCGAACCGATAATGATCGATAACCGATATCTTATCGGTTCGGTTATCGGTTTATCAAATTTGTAAACCGATAACCGATATGCTAAACCGATAATATTCAAAACCAAACCGACCGATGCCTACCCCTACATAGCCCTTTATTGTGTAATATGTGAAACCCTGTACTTCCTCCATCTCAAATTATCTGTCTTGGTTTCTAAAAATAGTTGTAAAAAAGAATAGATAATTTGTGACGGAGGGAGTACAAGTTTAGGAGGCAATTAAGTCATACTATCATGGCAAAAATCTATCTTCTGAATATTTAAAACCAGATAGTACTAGGGGAAGATTTCTCTTGTCGTTTGACAAAATGGACAAGAAGCAGCGAAGTCTGTGGTCGGAGAGTCAACAAGGAACGGAGTCGATGAGTCTACAAGGGCCGAGGCAAAGGTCGAGTGCCTTTGACGAAGTTATACTATTAATGAATATTCTCTACACTTGTACTATTAAGGTTTGTTAGGAGTATGTTCCTTATAAATAGAAAAAGACACTATGATCGGGGACATGTGATATTTTTTTGTGAAAAACACATACTTTGACGTGAAGAAAGGAATCAGATCTCACTGCTAGTATACAAACATCACCTTTTCACTGAGATTCTTGTCTATACTTTTCCACTAAGGAGAATAACTCAAAGATTCAAGGAATTGTCTATCATTCATCATTGTCAGAAAGAATATCATTTCTTGGGTGACTCGTTCATCATATTTACTTAAATGCCATTTATTGCTATTTATTTATATTAAATGCTATATCACTGTCTTTGATTCCTAGAATATTTATAGTGTGCTACCGTTACTGTTCGGATATAACCATATAGTGTTTGTTGCTTTTCAAGAAGTACCTCACTAGGGATAATATTTTTAACTGAGATTAACCTGCATTCACATAAATTTAATTATTTGAATCAAGATTCTTATTTTTTGGCCAAACAATTTAGCGCAGTCTGTGGGGATTTCTTAGTTAAGTTTTTAGCTTCCTCTAAATCTACGCAGGTCATTAACGTTGAAAAACCCCGAGATCTCCTTCCTTTGTGTATACAAAACCCTACATGGCAGGTAATCAAGAAGAAAGGACGAGAATAACAAGTGACTTCCCAACCAACCTCATGAATGTCATCAACGAAAGTTGTAAAACAATAGGTGAGGACACGACGCCCAGCATGTCCCCTAAGTAAGAGAGGTCAGCGCCCCACACTGCAGCATAACAAAACCTAGTGGTAAAAGGGCCTCCACGTCTACAGAGGAAGGGACGCCCCCAGTTGTGAAAAAACTCCTCGAGGCATGGTTAACCGACATGATAGCAAGCATCAACAAACTCACTCTAGGCACAACTACAGAAACTGCAAGTGCTTGCACGATGCAACAAATAGATGAGCAGTGCAACTGACCTCTCCATCCAATAACAAGTATAACTCACAATATTATTGATAGTGAAGGTGACAACGCCCTGGCTGCCATTCTAAAAAGGATGGAAGAAATAAAAAATGAAAACAAGGCACTCCGAGACTAGATGAAAGAACACCAAGAACGAGTTGACAAGATACCGGGTGCTCCTAAGCTGCTGCCGAAAAGGGACGTTGGTAGGTTCATAGAGAAGTCGTACAATGATGATGCACCCCTGCATGCCATATAAAAGACCTTCAAAATGCCACCTTACCTCAGTATATACGACGAAATGACCGATCCTAAAAATCATGTGACTCACTACGTCACCGCCGTGAAAGGTAACGACCTTGGCAAGGAACAAGTGTCCTCCATTTTGCTGAAGAAGTTTGGAGAAACCCTCACAGGAGGGGCATTAACATGGTATTCACAGCTACCAGCTCACTCCATAGAAACTTTTGAAGAAATGGCCAATAAGTTCGTAACCACCCATGCCGAAGCCAATAAGGCAGAGGCGAGAGTAAATGACATATTTGCTATTAGGCAATCTTTGGGAGAGGGGCTAAGGGACTTCCTCGTCTGGTTCAACCGAGTAAGGATGACTCTGCCAAATGTATCCGAAGGGATGATGGTCATAGCTTTTCAGAACAGGCTGAGTAGAGAGGGTTCAAGAGCAACTAGAAAACTATTTATCCGAATGATGAAGTATCCCCCAACCACTTGGGGACGAAATTCATAATGCTTATTATGCCGAGGTTCGAGCATACAAGGACGATCTCAATGGGCCAACTCATCGACTAACCTTAGTACAAGTCGAATCTAGGGAAGAACGAAGAGACAACACCAGAAGAGATCATCCAATCCCACGAGCTAATAGTGAAGGTCACCAACCATATGTCAAGACGGCTGACGCGCCCTCCCTTCGCTACGAAGAAGGACCGTCCATGCTAAGAACAGGAACTCATCGTATGCCTTCTTTATTATCTACTCACAATTTTTGTGTGTCACCTACTAAGATAGTCTATGCTTTAGAGAAATTCGGAATGAAAGTGAAGTGGCCACCAAAGATGAGATCAGACCCGAACACCAGAAAATTCGATGCCCTCTATGAGTTTCACCAGGAATGAGGGCACAAAATTAAAGATTGCATTGCCCTTAGACAAGAAGTCGTAAATATGTTGCAGCAAGGACACCTCAAAGAGCTGCTAAGCGATAGGGGGAGAACCAATTTCTCTAGAGGATACGAACACCAAGGCCCGCCAAAGACACTATCACCAGCTCGAACCATCACCATGATTATCGGTGATGGCGATGACGCCTCTATCAACAACGTTAAGTTCATCACCACCCACAAAATCAAGCGGTCTATCACCCGTGAACGGTACAACAAACTCAAAGAAAGTATCATCTTCGACAAGTCGGATGCCGATGGTTTGACTTTTCCTCATAATGATGCCCTCGTTATTACTTTACGTATTTTAGATATCGATGTCAAACACATCATGGTAGATGACGGGAGCGGCGCATGTATTATCTATCCTCGAGTCCTTATCGAAATGAGACTCGAAGATAAGATAGTGTCGCGTTGCATCACACTAACTGGTTTTAATAATGCAGTAGAACGAACATTCAGGAAAATTACACTCATTGTCTTGGCTGGCAGCATAACTCTAGAGACAACATTCCATATTATGGACCAAGCCATTACATACAACGCCATAGTAGGACAACCATGGATACATCCCATGAGAGTTGTCTCTTGATAATTAGGGATTCTAGTTCATTTTACACTCCTTTTTACTTGAGTTTTTATTAAAAATGTATACAAAATAGTCCCAAAGGCTTACATGTTGTACTTATTTGCAGGATTTGGTAAAAAAGGTGACAATTAGTCAAAACTAGCTCAAAAAGGAGTGAAACATGCACAAGTACCAAGAACAAGTCAAAGCACAGTTGCAACAGACCCACCGCGGCCGCAATCCATTTAGTGCGGTCCGCGGTGAGGAGATTCAGAGAGGTGCAAATTTTGGAGTTTCAAGCACTGTGGCCGCAACCCATTTGTGTGGACCGCAGTACCCTCTTCGCGGCTGCAATCCATTTTATGCGGTCCGCGGAGAGGGGATTCAGAGATTTGGTATTTTGGACGAATGAAGCCAGCGCGGTCCGCAGAGCATTTTGTGCGGACTGCAGTTAAAGCCATCGCGGCCGCGGTGTATTTTATGCGGCCCGCGGTGGCCAGATTCAGAGGATGATTAATCAAGCCAAGAAGCCTTATTGCGGTCCGCAGTGTATTTTATGTGGACCGCAATACCTCGTCATGGGTATTTTTGTCCAGAAAATGCGGCCTAGTATAAATACTTTCTTTTCACATTTTTAGGGCATCTTTTGTAATCTGTGAGAGACCAGAGCATGTGAATGACGTTTTATGTCCATTTTGAGTAATTTATAGCTAGATTAACACTAAATCTTCTTTATCGTAGTTTGTGTAAATCATAAGGGTTATTCTTCATCTATTTCTCTATTCTTTTCCATTATTATGAGTAGCTAGACCCATTAGCTAGGGTTATGGCTCAACCCTAGTGTGGGTATTTGATGGGTCTTTTGATTTAAGGCTTAGATGTTTATGAGTAGTTGATATTTGGACTGATTTATGTTTTCCATGTTGAATTAGTGGTTGCAAACACTAATTTGTGCCTATTTGACTTGGGCTCTTCTTGAGAAAGAGAGCTTGAGTCTAGAAAAATCAGTCCAACAAGGAATTGGGGTGTAATCAAGAGATTGATAGCCCCAATTAAAGGGTTAAACCTAGAGATAGAAATACCCGACTTGAGCCTATATTGTTTACACAATTTTGACACTCAATTGGTCTTGAGAAAGTCAATTAGGGCAAAGTCACTCAAGCTACCGAGAGGTATAGAGTAAATAATTCCGTGCATTGGCTATATCACAATCCCTAGTGCCTCTTTAACTATTTAGAAAACCCTACAAGCAATCATTCTTAGTTTAATTTAGCTTATCATTAGCATAAATATTAGAAGTAATAACCAACCAAAAAGATGATTGGAAGTGTAATTAAGAGCACTACGCATCTCTAGTTTAGATAGGAATCCAATTCCCACTTCTAGCTCCCTATGAATTCGATCCCGGCCATCTCGGGTAAAAGCTGCTTCGATCGCTCTCGCCACTTTATAGTGGTGTAGGGTTGGCTCCGATCACTTTTTGGAACTGTTGCTAGGGAGCTAATGGTTGTGTCTATCTATCTAAATAGTTTTGTGTATTGTTCTTCTTTCCTTCTACGTTACTAATTTGTGTGTGTCGCAAACTTAGGTACAAAATGGCAGCAAACAACGCACCTCTTGGAGATCTTCCGTCAGGGGAGGAAGTAGATGACAATATTGATAATGAGGTTCCTATTGTACCTCAAGTACAAAAGAGAGGCCCCCGGGGCAATGATAATGTTCCAGACCTTCCCCCGCCACCTCCAAGAGTGGCTCCTCAAGTGCTTCCCAACCAAGGATATACTAGTGCAATTGTCCCAACCCCGGATCCGGGCGGGTAATTTTTTAAATTACAAATGTGATGTTGACATTGTTGGAGTAGCGAGGGTATTTCATGGGTGCTCCCAATCAGAATGCTTACAAATATCTCAAGGGTTTCGTGGATACCTGTTGGGGGAGCAAACAAACTAATGTGTTAGAGGATGCACTTCAGTTGAGATTATTTCTTTTCTCACTTAGAGGGAAGACATTGGATTGGCTTGAACGACTTCTCAACCATTCCATCACTACTTGGGATGAGTTGGCGGATAAATTCATTACAAAATTTTTCTCGCCGAGGCACATGGCAGCATTGCAGGATGAGATCTTAGCTTTCAAGCAGGAGCCCACCAAACCATTACATGAGATATGGGAGAGATACAGAAACATGGTAAAGGAATGTCCCAACAATAATATGACTGAGGCAATGATACAACAGACATTCTCCCAGGGCATTAACATAACAAATCAATGCATAGTGAACCAACTTGCCGAGGGCAATTTCATGAAGCTGTCTTATGATGAGGCTTGTGACATTCTTGATGAGATGGCTGACACGTCCTCCGCTTGGAAAAGTAGAGCCAATGTGTCACAGGGTGACCCCACGGTCACTCACTTGCATAAAGAGCTACATGATCATAGGCAGGTAATAGCAGAGCTGACAATAATAATGAACTAGCTAGCAAAGGCATAGTTACAGCAGGTTCAAAATCCACGACATGTTAATGCTATGAAGGGTGTCAACATGCTAGTGAACAAAAGAAGACAAAGAGGTCAACAGAACCAAGGGAGTTCAGATTAATATGACAATGATGGTGGTGGATTCCAAGATGATGGTTATGATGGGCAGAAAGAAGAAGTGCAATACATGAACAATTATCAGGGCCAACGAGGCAATTCTTCCAACCAACAACAATGGAGACCCCAAGGTAATTGGGCAATCAACAACAACAAGGGAATAGTAATTGGGGGAAAAACAACCAAAATTCCAATTGGGACAATCGGAACAATTAGGGTAATTGGAATGCAACAACAACAACTGGGGTGGTAACAACAATCAGGATGATTGGAACAATGGCAATAAAGGAAATCGGGGACAAGGTTTTCAAAGGCCCCCAATGTATCAACAACCGAACAATCCACCCCTATTTCCATCCCAAGGTCCTAGTTCTTCCAACAATAAAATGGGGAGAACTGAAATGATGTTTGAACAAATGATGAAAAAGAATGCGGACTTTGATGCTCAGTTGGCTTCCTACAATACTTCAATCAGAAACTTGGAGGTTCAATTAGGCCAAATCTCACAATCCTTGAATACTCGCCCTAAGGGGGCTCTACCAAGTGATATAGTAGTGAACCCGAAGGGTGGGAACAATTCCGGGCATGTAATGGCGGTAACTACAAGAAGTGGACGAGGCGGTGATGTGAATGCCGCCAAACAAAAAGAAATTTTGAGTGATGAAGTTGAGTTGCAAGAGGATGAGATCCCATTGGTGGTTGAAAATGTGATTGATGAGAACATGAATGAGGAAGTGAGGATTGATATCCAAGATGNTACCCACCAAGTTAGTATGGTAGTGCACTCAATGGCCCCGAAGCTAGAAGATCCCGGTGCTTTCACCATTCCTTGCACCATTGAGAGTGCGGACTTTGCAAAAATTCTATGTGATTTAGTGGCAAGTATCAACTTGATGCCCTACTCAGTTTTCAAGACTTTGGGTATTGGGCAACCGAGGCCGACTTCCATGAGGTTGCAAATGGCGGATGGAACTATGAAGAGACCATTGGATATTATTGATGATGTTCTTGTCTGGGTGGACAAATTTGTCTTGCCAGCTGATTTTGTGATTTTGAATTGTGAGGTAGATTATGAGGTTCCAATCATATTGGAAAGACCTTTCCTTGCTACTGGGAAGGCCCTAGTTGATGTGGAAGCAGGGGAACTCACCTTCCGGGTGGGTGATGAGAAAATGGTCTTTCATATGTGCAAGTCAATGAAGCATCCCAACAGTTCTGAAGTGTGATCCTTTGTGGACCTTGTCACGGCAGTGATAGTTGATGATACTAGTGCAATGATCAATGTGGAGGACTATCTAGAGGCAGTATTGTTGAATCTTGATGTAAATGAGGATGAAGGCCAAGTGGAGTGTGTGAATGTTTTGCATGGAATGGGCTCTTACTCTTACGAGCCTAGGAAACTCTCTTTGGATCTTGAGAATCGGAAGACTGTACCAACAAAACCTTTAATCGAGTAACCTCCGGTGTTGGAGTTGAAGTCGTTGCCTCCACACCTCAGGTATGAGTTCTTAGGCCCTAGCTCAACTTTGCCAGTTATTCTTTCCTCTTGTCTTCCTAACATGCAGGTTGATGCCACATTGGCGGTGTTCCAAAAGCGGAAAAAGGCAATAAAATAGCTAATATTCAGGGGAAGCCCTGCATTCTGTATACACAAGATTATTCTGGAAGATGATGCAAAGCCCTCCTTGGAACATCAAAGGAGGTTGAACGAGGCAATCCAAGAAGTTGTAAAAAAAAGAGGTGATCAAGTGGTTGGATGCCGGGGTTATGTACCTCATCTCTGATAGCTCTTGAACTTTGCCGGTGCAATATGTGCCGAAGAAGGGTGGTATGATCATAGTTACAAATTCGCAAAATGAGTTGATTCCAACAAGGACTGTCATCGGGTGGAGGGTGTGCATGGACTACCACAATTTGAATAAAGTGACCCGCAAGGATCACTTTCCATTGCCTTTTCTTGATCATATGTTAGACAGACTTGCTGGGCGTGCTTTCTACTGTTTCTTGGATGGGTATTCTGGGTACAACCAAATTTTGATTGCTCTAGAAGATTAGGAGAAGACCACCTTCACTTGTCCATATGGCACCTTTGCCTTTTCTACGATGCCTTTTGGGTTGTGTAATGCATCGGCTACATTTCAGCGGTGTATGATGGTCATTTTCACTGATATAGTGTGTGAGCACGTGATTTTTGCCCTATATGAATTACTCCCACAAATTCAAAACAAAATAATTGTTTTTTTTCATTGTTTGCAATTTTGTAAAATTTTGTGGCATTTTCCGTTAAGTATTTGCATTTGTTTGTGCATGTTTATTTTATTTAATTAATGAAAAATACAAAAAATATATGTTGCATTTGCATTTAGGATTTGACTTTGCATTTTTAAGAATTGATTAGTAATTATTTGTTTGTTTTATAAAAAATAAAA